GAAAGAGAAATGTCAAGAGGAGTAGGTAGGGCACTAGTAAAAGAGGGAAGAGTATGGGCTGGCAACAGGCCTGTGCAAGGGCAGGATAGTTTAGTCCTGTCACCACTAGTGTCAGTCAGCCTGTTGAGGGAACCTGGCAGGAGGTGAGGGCGTGGCCGAGCGTCACACAGAGTGGAACATGGGGAGTCTTCCCTGGGCCTCCATCCATTGATTGCCTGGAAGAGACTAAGTCATCAGCGTTTACTCTTAGGGCCAGTGAGTCGGTCTTGTTGTTTGAGAAACTCTCTTGCTTGAGCTCAGCCTCCCACCTGCCAGCTCAGTCCTTCAGCTAAGAAGAGACTTTCATTCCGCTTCTAGGCGGCTCTGCTGTATCCCTGCGAAGGTTCGTTTTCCTTTTAGACTTGACTGACTTCAGGTAAATGCCCTCGGTCACTATTCCATTCTGAGTACAACATTGATGGAGATGAATTACATATCACAAGTGACTATAAACAAGTAAAATAACTCTCTAAAATGAATTTTTGTTACATTATAGTTACACCACACATACTTATACAATTATACTGTATTCTATATGAAAAGCTTAACGTATTTTGAGTGTGAACTGATTTCAGGTATCTTCTAGACTTCTCCCCTTACTAATTACAGAGAACTGCATGGACACTGTGATTATGATCTATTTTTTCCCCTGCATATTTTATTTCATACACAATTCTATTTTTTATTAGTTATTATGTGGATAGTTATTCTGGGTGAGACTGTAAAACACAACATAAAGTATTTTTGTCTTAATAATCAGTTGAGTCAGGAGGCAGGCTAGCACTGTGAAGTTTGTATACCCACTGGCTGATGATCCCTGCCCACAGCTTTGCTGAAATTGCTGCCCATTGTTTGAACCCCGGGAGTGCTTGATCAGAAAGCTTCCTTAGAATTTATGGTTACCTTGCATTTACATGCTCAGAATCTGGACCTAATTTTGGCCATTTTGCCAAGTCGGGACTTAATAACTAGCAGTTTATCAAATACAGCTCACTCATATTTTATTTAAATGCCAAATAAAGCAAATAACACTTAAAATTCTTGTTTATTAATAAAGGAACTTTTTTAAAAGTTACATTTTCTGCTAGGGAAAAGAAAATGTCACTTTTTATAATTATCTTGTGATAATAAGTTTTTCTAAATTTTCATTCCTAATTGCCCATGATTGAAAGCTTAAAAGCAGTGAGATCTAAAAAGGAGCATGTTCTGTGTATCCCAAAGGTAGAAAAGCAGCCACAGCACTTTTCCCCATCACGTAATTCTAGTGATCATGTTTTCAGACGGATGAAAGCACCGCTCAGGATAGGATGTGTTTATGAGAGGCCGAAACCTGCACTTTTTATGCTGCGTGTTGCAGGTAGATTTTATAAGGGGGAAGGAATTAGGGAAAATTCATGAGTGCTTGCTTAGAGGTGGGAATAAGAATTGACTGCAACTGGACAAGAGGAACATTTTTTAATATGATGGAAATGTTCTAAAATTGGATTTGGGGGTTGGATGCACAGCTGCATCTATAGTAATAAAAGCATAATATGCTAATTAGACCTGGCAGCCAGCCTTCCGGACGAAGCCATGGGGGCTGAGGCAGAGGCAGTTAGGGGCAATCAGGCAGGCAGATGAGCAGTTAGGGGTGATCAGTCAGGCAGGCAAGTGGTTAGGGGCGATCAGGCAGGCAGAGTGATTAGGGGCGATCAGACAGGCAGGCGAGTGGTTAGGGGCTGTCAGGCAGGCAGGCAGAAGCGATTAGGTGCCAGCGGTCCCAGGTTGCGAGAGGGATGTCCGGCGGCCAGTTTAGGCCCAATTGGGATCTGGCCTAAACCGGCAGTCAGACATCCCCCAAGGGGTCCTGGATTGCTAGAGGGTGCAGGCTGGGCTGAAGGACCCCCCCGTGGCCTGTCTCCCCTGTGCACAAATTTTGTGCACTGGGGGCCTCTAGTAAATTAATAAAATTACTGAATTGTACATTTACAGTGAATGAATTTAATGCTACTAAACTGTACTATAGTAAAGTTGAAAAAATGGGGACAGTGATAGAAAGTTATTACAAAAGGTTTAGGCACAAGGTGTAATGCCTTTTTGTCCCAGTATGAACCAAGTCATTGGATTGGAAAATTTTTATTTTTAATTAGTTTTACTCTTTGATGTCATGAAGTTTTACAATTTTTGTTATGATACAAAGCCTTTACTTAGGATGTAGTTTCTTTGTAATCATGGCTTTTTTGGCAGTACTTTTAAATTTTGGAGTATTGCTGCAGTTTTTATATTACAGATTTCCCAAATATACTATTTAATGTAAAAATTAAAGCACTTCTTAGACTAATATAAGAAGAAAGAATGAGTGTTTGGATGTTAATGGCTCTAGTTATTACAGTTAGCATGATTATTTGTCCCCTCAGTCCATGGTAGCATCTTTTAAATGATTTAACTATTATACCCTAAAGAAGTCATTTGCATAGATATTATTATTTGTTTGCTTGTTTTTAATTTTTTAAATCCTAGCTTGTTCTATAATGTTTCTGAAACAGCTTATAGAAATGCTTAGGGTACATGAGGTAAAATTAAATAGTTGAGACTATTTTATGAAGAAGAAAGAAGGATAAGAATATAAAATAAAACTAAATGTGCTGGACTATCTCATTCTTTGACAAAATAGTTCAACTATTATGTACATAAAGTTACCTTCTTACCTGGGGGGGAGGGGATGTTCCTCTATGTTTGCCTCTTTCATCCTACCTTGTATACTCCCGATATATTGAGACTTATTTTTTTTTTAAGTGTAGAAATAAGAGTTACTTATGTTAGGGCTTAAACACTAGTTAAACATGTATTCTTACTGGTTTTACAAAGTTATATTTTGTTTGAGTAATCATACACTTCTTTGCTTTTCAGGCAGTCTGAATATGGCGGTGTAGTATTTGGTGGCTGGGCGCGAATGGCTCAACCCATTGTGGCTTTCACTGTGGTTGAGGTTGCCAAACCCAACATAGGTGAAAACTGGCCAACCCGAGTTCGTGCAGATGTCACCATCAATCTCAATGTCAGAGATCACATCAAAGATGAATGGGAAGGTAATCTTGCATTTCAAAAAGTGGTTACCTATTACCTTTTTAGTTTATTATACTAGAGGCCCAGTGCACGAAATTGGTGCACTGCGGGGGTGTCCCTTAGCCCGACTTGTGCCCTCTCACAGTCCGGGAGCCCTGTCATCAATCGCCCCAAAGAGGTAGACCCTGCCCACCTGGCTGGGGCTCCACAATGGATCGCCCCCGCAGAGGGAGGCCCCACCCACCCGCCACAGTGCCACCACAGGGTAGCCTGGGCCTCTCTTTGGGGCAATTGATCACGCTCCACAGAGAGAGGCCCTGCCCATCTGCCATAGCCCACTGGTCAGTCACCTGGGCCTCCCTCTTTGGGGCGATTGTGGAGTCCCCCGTTTGATCAATCGCCCCACCAGCCAATGGCCTGGGCCTCCCTTACAGGGTGATCATGCAATCGATTGTGCCTTGCAGAGGGAGGCCCGGCCCACCCACTGTAGCCCGCTGGTCAGTGGCCTGGACCTCCCTCTTTGGGACGATCGTGCAATTGATTCCATCCCGCAGATGGAGGCCCCACCCACCTGCCGGAGCCCACTGGTCGGTGGCCTGGGCCTCCTCTTTGGGACGATTGTGGAGCCCCCTGATTGATCAATTGCCCTGCTGGCCAGTAACTTGGGTCTCCCTCTGTAGGGCGAACATGGGGCGATGGCTGAGCCCCCGACCAATTGCATCACACCCGCCTTGGCTGACCTGGCGCCAGTGGATGTCATAGTGTGGTTGTCCAGACAGTTGTTCTGCTGTTCAGCCGTTAGGTCAATTTGCATATTATGCTTTTATTATTATAGACTTTCACTTAGAGAATTAGCAAAGCACTTTTATTAAATGTTACCCTTCTAAACTCATGAAGTTTAATCCTTAAAATTTGATTTAAAGAATGGCAGTTGTCTTTGTAATTATCATTAATAAAAAATACCAAGAATCATATAAGAATGATTAAATACCTTAATACTTTAATAAAAACATAAAATAGTATTCATATCAAAGTGTTTTTAAAATTGCAGTTAGCAGAGCTGTAAGTGTTTTAAATCTTAAATTTAGTAAGGTAATGTTTATGAATTTGTAAGATCAACATAAAAAGTAAAAATATTAGTGTTCACTAAAGAAAGGGGGAACACAGGCAGAGCAAGAAAATAGATATTTTAAAAGATAAAAAGTGAAGAGAATAGGGATGCATACCATTTATGGAAAATAAAGATACAAAATCAAAACTAGACAAACTCAAAAGGAATTTTAGGGGGATCTACAAAACAATTCAGAAAGAAATAATAATAGTTTATTTTCATCAAAGGGGAGAAGTCAGATAATTAGTCAGTGAAATTCTATGTACTCAACAGTAAATAAATAAGAATTCAGAGATATTAAATGAGTTATTTTTTTATTTTTTGCCAGGCAAGATTTGAGGGATGGGAGTTCCACAGTAAATTTTATTTAGGGATATATATGTTGAGAGTTACTACATAAGATAGGGTTAAAACAGTGCTAACATCTGTGCCTGAAATGTCGCATGAGCTGAGTTTTAATTGGCACTTCTCTTTTTCTCCCAGCTGTCTGTGAGAGCTCTTGCTGCCTTGTTGTTAGACATAGTAGCTGGTACATTTTATCTCCTTTCACCTTCTTGGCATGCCAGAAGGGAAGGGATAGTCCCTTAATGGTTTACTTTTCAAAAACCATTGCTGTCGACATAGCTGTTTATAACCACAGGGACTTTATGATATATTTATCACATTAATTCTGAAGGAATCCAGCAAAGAAGCTGGCCAACTGTTTGACAAATGGCCACTGTAGTGGATATCATTTGTGACAGATTTTGCAACTTCAGTTTCCTTCCAAAGACTTGTAATCTGATGCCTTACACATCTAGAATAATGTGTACCTTTATCATTTCTAAATATTGAGGAAGACGTTAAGTTGTTGGAGATGCCTTCTATTTATTGCCCTTTAGAGTTAAGGAGGTCTTAAAATAAGCACTGTTTTATGATAGGTAATAAACTGCCATAACTTATTGGCTACCCCTCAATGTAATATTGGAAATAAACTTAAAAACAAGGATCCTTTACAGAAACTTACAGATGACAGATGACAAGTCTGCATTGTGGTTTTAAGGGGAAAAAATAATGCTTTATCCAATCCCCTTTCCTCCATTACTTTGCAGACTGCTATCAGGACATCAGTCATTTTTGGAGGGGGTGAAGGAGAGCTCTTCTTTTCTTTTAAGCATAGGCCTCTGGTAGAATAAGAAATAGAATGGGTGAATTTTGATGGGTAGGATAGAGAACAATAGGGTATTATGAGGGGAGCAACTCATATTTTAAGGAATGGTGGGGAGAAAAGTGTTTTCTGGGAGGCCAGAGCCAAAATTCACACCCAGTATTGATCACAAAGAGTAACCTAGTAGAAAATTGAGGCAAAAAAATTAGAGAGAGGTTCTAGTAATGAATATTATCCCTGTGAAAACAGAGTAGTTTTGAAGAATTTAAGGTAAATTCTATAAAACATTCTTCTTGTTCCTGTAAGAATGTGTGAATTTCAGGCCCTTCTCCATCCCTCATTTAAAATTAAGGAAACAAAATTAAGGAAATTGAAATGCCGGATTCTGCTCAAAAGGCACATTCACAGATGGAATGAATGCAGATGGTTGAAAGGAGAGAGGTAGTTGAGCTCATTGTAATATAGGTATTTTTGATGTAGATCTGTAATGTCCCACAGTAAAATTATCTGCCTTAGGAGGGAATGGGCACTCATCCTTCCTTGATACCAAAAAGCGACATTGATAGAAACAAATTACCTCTCAGGGCCACTTCTTTGTCTCAAAGACTTGGACCTTTTAATGAGTCGTGCAGATCAGAAGTCACAAATCACAGAATAGTTCCTTTAGTTCTCATTGCTTCTCCTGCTAATTTGCAGAGAATTTGTTGAGAAATAAAGTCATTATTATGAATTAAGAGTTATTATTTCTAACACACTTGAATCCCACTCTATATTGAAACAAACCAGAATGGTCCCAGCACTGTTAGACATACACATTGCTGGTTTGATTTAATTGTGTATCTTGTTACCAAGGTTATGAGCAAACAGACTGCTTAAATTTTCATTTATGTCATATACTGGCTAACAAAATCAAATCAGAAAAGAAATAAAGATTAAGTGGGATGATATTATGTGCTATGTGATCTAATTTTATGTCCCTTGTCTTCCATTGCCTAGTTTTACTAGAGTAGGGAAACCAATTGAATTATAATTTGGTCAGATAACTGAAAAGCCATGGACTTTGGCACAAGTCTCCTGTTTCTTGACATTCACTTACAAAAATCTTCCGTATTTGCCAATTGAAACTATATATACTCAGCTATCTTTTCAAGATGGTGTCTGTAAACAATTCTATTGTGCCTTGATGAATTATTTTTGAGTTGACCCTTTTTGGCGAAATACACTTAGACTGTGGTTGGAGTGACTGATGTTATGAACCTGCTAAATATGACAGAGATGGATTATATGCTAGCCATATTTCTGGTTACTTATTAAGACTGTTAAGAGTAAGAATGAAGGTAAACATCCAGTTTTAGAGCTGTAGCCAGACGTGAAGGGCTTATTTAGTAATATCTTCATGGTAAAAAGGTTCAGATTTTAATATATGGGAACTTTCATTTAATTACTACTATCAAACATTGAGTATTAGAGGTTATAGAAAAGCCCATAATTGTATTACAGTACAAATATAATTTTTGACCACCTCTCATATTTTGAATGTATTTTTATATTTCTATTCTAAAGATAAGAGCTTAAGAAATTGCTAACAAAAGACTAAAAACAATGACATTCTGATAAGTGAAAATGTCTTAATGTTTTACCAGGCCTTCGTAAGCATGATGTATGCTTTTTAATTACGGTGCGTCCCACGAAACCATATGGTACCAAGTTTGACCGGAGGAGACCTTTTATTGAGCAGGTTGGCCTGGTTTATGTCCGAGGCTGTGAAATCCAGGGCATGCTGGATGATAAAGGACGTGTCCTTTTTTTCCTTTTTGTGTATTAGGTGATACTCTTACTAGTAGTTTTATATACTAAATTCACACAGGATTATCTATAAAGTATGGGTAGAGTACCTACCACCCAGTTTTAGAAATAAATAATATGGTTTCTAAACTGTTAGATACTGGAAAGGACAGGATCTTTTGAAATCATCTTTATTTAAAACTTCCTTTTACATTAATTTACAGTATTGCTTTTTATAAAACCTCTTATAGTTAGTTGTTCAATGATATATTTGTCTAATTTCTTCTTCTTAAGTTTTACTGATTTGATTCATTATAGGAGTGGTTCTTAATTGGGAATAGCACTACCCTGCAATTTGAAATGTGTGGTAGTATTTATATTGTCAGATGACTAGTGTAGGAGTAGGGGTTGGTGAGTTATTGGTATTTTCTGGTTGGGGACCAGGGATGCTAAGCATGTAAACAGAACTATCATGTAGAAGGAACTGTCCTGCCTGGGATGCCAGCATTATCCCATTTAGAAATGTTGCCTTACAAGGCTAGTCAGCTCTTTGAGTTCTTATCTTATCACTGATTGTTTTTTTGAAATTCTTACATTGTTCTGACTTTTTTGGTAATACTTACTATTAAATTATAACTGCGTCCATGCCTGGTGCTTAATTTATAATTTAGTTATTAAACTTCTCATAGAACTTCAATTCGCTTTTATTACCTGTGATTTCAAGATTGCACCATTGCTAAAGTGCTGATACTTAGGTCGCTTCTCTCACTAGAATAAAAGAAAAATAGAAGGGAATGGAGGATAGTTGGAATAAACATAAGGCCATATGATGGGACCAGAGTTGGAGGTCTAAGACAGAAAGAAAAAGCCTCTGAGCTTTCAGCCATTAGAATATGAAACTTCCTTTCATACTAGTGATATTATATATGGAATATGGAAGGAAGAAAAGAGTAATCACCAGGCACTTACTATATGTAAGGCAGTAGTAGGAGCTGAGCTCTGAGTGGCTGACAAAAGTCAAGTTCTTTGACTTCAAGGCTCTGATTTTAGTTGAGGTCATATTCAAATAATTGCAATTCCTGGCATTGCCTCATAAACATTACATGACTACTCTGGGAAGAAATAGTAATAAGTTTGAGAAAGGAGAAACTATTTTCAGCTTTCTGAAATTTGAAATGGGATGAGTGGAAAACATTCTACTCGGGAAGATGGCTGGAGTAAAGTCTGGACAGTTTACTCATTTCTAGAAAAGGAATACTGCTAACTTGTTTTGATATTTGGAAAGTAGATATTTAATAGTATATATTTCATTGAACAGACTTTTTCAAAATGTTTAGGACCCGAACCCAGACCCAATCTTAGAGGAGAGTCAAGGACATTTAGAGTGTTTTTGGATCCAAACCAGTATCAACAAGATATGACCAATACCATACAAAATGGAGCAGAAGATGTGTATGAAACTTTCAATATAATAATGAGAAGAAAACCAAAAGAAAATAACTTTAAGGTAATTTGGGGGCTTTAAAACCAAAAATGCTGCATAATCTGAAAAACTTTAAGACAAATAATAGATAGTAGGTTTAAAGGATTTGTTAAGAAAATTATCATCACTGCTTTTTTTATTCTAAGCAGTTCTCTTAGATTAAATATAGAAACTTAAGGAAATTTATTTGCTAAATCTCTTTTGTCTTTTGATCAATTTAGCAACTTAAAATATTAATTCATGTGTTACTTTAAAGGTCAGCCTCCTTCCTTGCTTTTTGTATATCACATTCAGTTTGTGCCTCAGTATGAGGTGAAGAAAACTGCTTGTTTATTTGTTTACTGGGACTTCTTTTATGAATCAAAAGTAACTCCTATGGAATCTTAGGGCTTTGAATTACTCTATGATATAATGTACTTATACTTTACTTGTTAGTGGAAAAAGATTTGGGGACTAGAGAGTTTTATTTTCATAATAACTTTGTGTGTAGAGGAGTTTTAGTAAAGGAAGGTTTTAAAAATTATTCTTTGAAACTATATTATAAAACTTAAACATTAAGTGGTTCTGCATTTGGTGATACCAGCTTTTGCACAAGTGCCTTTACTTACTCCACCAAGCACAGTGCTTCTTATACATTATCACTTGATTATTTTTTTACTAGTTGTTATTTAAAAAGAAAGCCTCACCTACAAAGGAATTTATTCCCCATTTACCCTGTTGTTGAAGACAAAATAATGGAAATACCTTTCATTTCTTTGGTCTCACATTCCACCTGCAGTTCATCAATCAGTCGGATTGACTTACCCCCTCCACGATGCCATGTCCAGGACACCTCATCTCTCACATCCCTGCTTCCATTTGTGACTGCTCTTCCCCTTAGACCAGCGGTTGCCAACCTTTCGGACCTCGCGGCCCACCAGTGGTCCGCGGACCACCATTTGGCCACTGCTGTTCCAAAGGTTTCCTTAAAGTTTAAGGCTTAGACCACTCTCCACCTAGTGGCTGAGTGCTGGTTATACCTGGTACCCCTGTTCAATGTTTCATAGTTTTTTATCACACTAGAAAGTTGTCCTCATAGTCAGAGAGGCCCCTTCCCTCTGTTTTCTGGCTACCTCTCCACCGTCTTTTTCTAACACGTTTCCTTTATTCACTCCATGCCAATCACACTGACCTTTTGCTGTTCTTTAGTAATCCAAGCCTTTGCACAGTGTTTCCTGTACCTGGGCAGTCATCCCCAGGCATTTGCATGGCTTGTTCTCTGACTTTATATGGGCAACTCTGTTTAAATGTCACCTCTTAAGAGAAACCCTCTCTGGCAACTTTATCTAAAGTAACCTCTCCCTTTCTCATCATTCTTTATCCAATTATGTTTATTTTCCCCTACTGCCTTTATTATACCTGATAATTATATGCTATTTAACTGACCTTAGAATGACTTTATATTGTTATTTCCCTGACATTAGAATGCAGGTTTATGAGGGCAGGTCTCTGTTTTGTCTGTATCTGTTTTGTTTCTCTCAATAATGATTGGATTTCAGTCAGTTTACTAAAATGAAAGTTTCTTATATTTATTCCTTTGATCTTTTTTTTTTAGTGCCTACTGTGTCTGGTATTGTGCTAAGTTACATAGAGCTAATAGAGATGACTGAGGCACTGTTTATACCTTTGGGGAGCTTAGACTACTAATAAGTGAAGTTAGAAATATAAACAGATAGCTACCATGAAAGCTTAGAAGGTGCCAAAAGTCATAACAAGGGTACAGGTAGAAGTGTCCTGGAAGTTCAAAGAGGCATTCAGGTTCTGATCTAAGAGAAAGGAGGGATGATTAACTTGCCTATGTTTGGGGAAAATGCTTTTTTGGTATCTTTGGTATTTTATTTTATACCTGGGCAGCATCCCTCGTTTATTTCCTTCACTCTTTTCCTGTTTGTACAGCCTGTCCTAATCTGGATACTTCTTGCCTGAATAGTTGCACAAAACTGCCTCCTTTGTCTCTACCCCTGTTCTCCTCTTAGTCTGTCACCTGTCACCTGTTCTTCATACCCTTCCACTGGTCATTTCACTCTGCTTTTCAAAACATTTCTGTGACTATGTTAATGATGACATAAATCAAAGCTTTTTCACAAATCCTTTACTTGAGCTAATTTGAAATGCCACTTTTCCTCCTTGAAACCTTTTCTAATGTCAAAAGTCTCCCCTCCATCCATCTCTCACCTACCTCAAATTGTGCTCCCGGTATATTTTGTAGTATTTTTTACTCTTTGCCACATTCTGATGCTTTGTATCATTGTTAATGACATATTTTATTTCCCTACTAGAATCATAATTACCTTAAAGACATTTTA